GGCAGTGGTGGGGCCATGCATGCCCCCCGCTGCAGGCCCCCCCCCCGCTGTTGGGGCCACCCTCCTGCCCCAGAGAGGGGTTCAGCCCCAGGCCGCTCCCCAGGGCTGGCAGGGGCCACTGCACCATGCCAAGTTTCAGGACAATCCTGATGTGCCCTGGTGACTGCCACCCAAACCCCCAGGGACTTCTGTACTCTTTTCTCTTGCTTGGGGACACAAAGAACCTGGCTGGGACCTGCCTTGATGGCAGGGGACTCCATTTTACCTCAGTGGGACAAGTTTTACCTCACGCCTGGTGGATCTTGCTGGCTTCGGGTCCTGAGGACCCACACAGAAACATGGCTGACTCCCTCACAACGGGCCCACGAAGATGATTCAGCCTGGGGCAGCTCCCAGGTGGGAAAAGGCCTGTGAAGATGGCAAATTATTTTGTTTTAACTAAGAGTGTGATCCCTGGTGCAGAGATGGGTCCTGCGGCCACACAGGATGACCCCCGAGCCCCACTCCAGCACCACGCAGAGGCAGGGTCAAGCCCAGCCAGCTGCAGGCTTGCCTTCACCACCCTCCCCAGCAGGGAAACATGTTGGGGTCCAGTCTGCAGACTCTTCCCTGTCCCCAGCTGGGCTGGGGGACACATGGGGATCCCAGCTCTCCTCCTCTCCCAGTACCTCCAAGCCTGGAGCTCACAGCAACCATCTCACCATCAGGTAACCACAGAGGCTCAAGCAGAACCCCTCCTCCCCAGGAGCCCACTCCACCCAGCCATACTACCTTGCTGGTGGGGAGGCTTTTTAAAGCTGTTTTCTAATTGACATCCTGGCAGGCACCTGGGAGCAGTAATTAGGCACTTTGTTAATCCTCCCCTGGACCGCACCTCTTCCAGAACAGAGGGTGAGGGTAGGCTCGAAGCAAAACAGTTGTCCCAGGGGTGCTCAAGTCAGCAAGATGTTAGCAGATCATCAGACACAGGGATGATGCTCTCTGCTCTATCTCTGGATAACCTCACGCTGCAGAACAAGCTCATGACAGTTCACGGCAGCTCTGGGGTGGGAAGTTACAACCATCACCTGACAGTGCTGGGAAGCACAGGGGAGGAAGGTCCTGCCTGGGGCGAGCTGGAGGGCTCTGCCTTAGCTGCACCCAGCTGCAGCCCCATCGGTGGGTAGGTGACAGGGACGCCGGCTGTGAAATGTGGGCAGAAAGAGATGGGCTTTTCCAAAACGTCTGCACAGAGGTGGCTGTTGAATCTGCACTTGCAATGCAAAGGTGCTAGGCAGAGGAGTGCCCCTCATGCCTCCACAAACCAGAGGGGAGTGGGCTTCTCCAAAGGGGGCAGTTAGAGAGGTACCAGCAAGATAAGGTCTTGGGGCCAAGAGATGAGAGCATGGCTGACTGTGCTGGAGATGACTAAGAGTCATAGGAACATGGAGAGAGAGCTCTTGGTTTTGGCCAGAAGGATGGCTGGAGAGCACGAGGGAGTCCAGAGAGAAGGAAAGGCAGTTTTTGGCCAGAGAAGATTTCCTCTCAGCAGTTTTTCCTGGCAGGATGTGGGGAAGAAGAACACAAAGTAGAGGCAGCATGGTGCGCTGGGGGGCTCCTGCCCAGAGCTGGGGGGCTGTCAAGTGGCTGGGCCACAGGAGACGTCTGCCTGATTATTCTTTCCTCCTTTTGAGCCAAAGGGGCTTTTTAAAGGATGTTTGTTTCCCTCCTTCTTCTTTTTAAGTTTGTTTTTTTTTTTTTTTCCAGGAACACATGCCAGCTCAGAGAGAACTGACTCACCAGTGTGAACAAGTATTAAACCAGACAGGTTTAATACAGAGAAGGGAAACAATCTCTCAGCCTCCCTTCTTCTCTTTGAGGAGGCCCCTTGCAGAGCGTCTCTGATGTCAGTGGTCCACAGGTGACAAGTCACAGCCTGTACACACGGGTCCCCAAGCTGGGCTGGGCGCACCTGGGGATGCTCAGTGCGACAAGCTGTCTGCTGGGGTTTCTCCCTCATTGGTGGCCACCTCTTCCTGCCTGCAGGCTGCACGCCAAATCCTGTGGTTGCAAGCAGCAGCTCAGCCACAGGAGTGCTGCTGGGCCTCATGTGCCCAAGCGGGTCTGAGCAAGGGGCAGGGATGCTCTCAGAGGACCTGCAGCCTTACTTTGAGTCACATCACCCAGGGATGTCTGTGGAGGCCCCGATGGCCAGGAAGGCGTGCTGGGAGATGGCACGAGACTTGCTCAGTGCCTTGCTGGCCGCAGGCTGGCTGTGGAGGGGAGAGTGGAGGCTGCTGTGAGCCCTGGCTGGGAGCACTGGGAGCTCAGGCTTGTTTCCCAGGCTGGGAGTGGGGCTGGGCCATTCCAGTCCTACAGGACCCCTGCACTGAGTACAGCTGGCCAAGGTGTCATGCCTGCCTGTACTGTCCTGCAGCAGTCTGGGGACACGAGTGAGCTGTTGGTACCCAAACAGCTAAAAACCCTGGTTGCAGCAGGCCAGGGTTTGTCTCCACAGTCTGAGTTTCTCTGCTTCCCTGAGCTCTTCCACAAGGTGCCTGTCTCATCACTGGAGAGGAGACTTGTTTCGGGGTGGGGAAAATGCCCTGCTGGGAGGCTGGTAGTCCCTGTGTCTGCCTACTCATTCCCAGCCCCATGACCCCTCCTCAGTGCACCCCGACATGCAAAAGGCCTGCCAGGCAGGGATTGGGCAGTGGGAGCCGGCTGGGTTCAGGGCTGAGGTCTACCAATTCCCCCTCCCTGCTTCCCCCCAAGCCTTTGCTGCAGCCTCTCTGGAGATGAGGTGATTTTTTTTCCCCTGCTGATTCAGCTCCTGGAGAAAAATGCCCTGTCTGCCTGTCATGGCTGATCCGTGCCAGGTGACTCAGAGCATATCTGGGGAGAATCAGCCTGAGCTGGTCAGGGAGCCTGCAAACCTTCTCTCTGGCAAACTGAGCAAAGACTGGAACCCAGGACAGGCCGTGCTGGAAAGGGGAGCCTTGCTGGGACTTGGACTTGTCTCCTGCTGCAGCTGATGCCTTGGGCTTTTGGGTACACAAAGGGTTTCCAGGAGCTGAGGGAGGCACGACTGCTGCCAGCAGGGACTTGCACCTGGGCTGCATCATGCAGCCTGAAAACAGGGTCAACATCAGTATATTTGAACCTCAGTTCAAAATCCCCTCTTCACAGCAACCCTGGGCTTTCCAAGCATGTGGCTCGGAGCTGCCTGTGGGCTTTCCAAGCATGTGGCTCGGAGCTGGCTGCAAACAAACAGATCTGCTCAGCAGCCTGGGGCCATTTTCGAGAGGAGCAGTTTCACTGGAGCCAGAGAGAGGAGAAAACTTTGGGCTGGACTCAGGAGGTGCCTGTGTCCCATGGGGATGGGGGACCCCAGCACTGCTGGAGGGGTGACTGGGAGAAGGTGAGAGGAGTAGGAGGAAAGCAGGGGCACATGTGGACCAGAGGGAGTGGTAGTGTAGGGAGCAAGTACTGTGGGGTTGTGTCTTTAAAAGGTATCAATTAATTCCTCATCCCAGAGGGAGGGGAGGAGAACCCATCTCAGAGGAGAGCAGGACATGGGGAGCCCTGTGCAATGCAGTGTGGCTCCTCCTGGTGCCCTGCCCCATTGCTGCCCCCAGTCTCTCCCACTGCCCTGAGCCATTAAACTACATGGAAAAATCAACAGCACTGTGGTGTCCCCCATCTCCTTCAGCCCAGCACTGTTCAGTCTGGCAGTTCCCGCATCCCTACCCTGATCTGAGCAGAGACCCAGCAATGCCCCCAAGAAACACATCAAGCCCTTGTTGGGGGCTGCTGGCCCAAACGTCTGGCACTGGGGATACACATGGGAACTGTTCCCGGTGTCGTTCCCTCTACCCACCTCCTCCCAGTGCAACACCACTCACAAGCTGGCCAGTTACCAGAGAAATGGGGCAGATCCTGCCCTGTTCGCAGCCCCTTTTCCTTACCATGTATCTGGGCTCAGCTGTTGCCTTGCTGTGCTTGTCTCTGCCTGGCTCCCAGCTTGGCTTTCGTTAAGAGTTGGGGTCATGCACAGTGTATTAACATGCTTAGCCTTCACCCACGACATGGTTAAGCTGTATTCCCAGCCCCATCTGAGTGTGAGAAGGTGGCAGCAACCAAAACCAGGCAAACAGAGGAAGAGATGGAACTTTGCAAAAAGAAAAACACCTTTATTTTTAAACTCTTTCTTTAAAAACGTATTTGTAAAAGTTTACAGCATAAAAATAATATCTCATGGCTATAAATGTGACATAGTACAAATCCTACAAATACATCTGTAAACCTAGGAAAATGTTAACTCTTTGGTACCTTAGTCCAAACTCTGTTTTTTCCTTTGCCCTCAGGATGGTTTCTGACAGACAGCGTGGAGGCAGGTGCTGTTTCTGTTCAGAGATGCTGCAGAGTAACAGCATGATGCCAGCAAGCCAGCACAGCAGGACGGGGAGATGGCAGAGGGCAAGCTTTGGGCAAGCTTTACAGTTATGGTGCAATCCATGAAGGAGGAAAGGACAGGAACAATGGGACGCTGCAGGCCTCCCAGCATGAGTTGGCTTCCCTGCCTCCTCCCACCTCTGCAAGAGTCATCTCTCCAAAGTGCCGCTGGAGCTAAATTGGAGCAGTTCCCCTGCCTTTGCCAAAGCTAACTGGATCCATCTTGGCATATCCCAGAGACTTCAGCCCTCCGGGTGAAACATGGGAATTATGCTGGGAGCCCAGCAACCCATGTGCTGACCCATGAAATTTTTGAATGATACCTGGCCTGCCCTGGGCAAGTCCTGCAGACAACATGGTACCTCCACTGTTACAGTCAGCCTTGGCTGCTCAGCATCCAGGCTGGGCTGCAATCTGCTGCGGGAAGGACCTGTGCATGGCCCAGGAGCTGCCCGGCACCCAGTGGGGACCTGCAGCTGCCCTGGCTGCTCTCTGCCTGTGCAACCACCTGGGGCGAAGGCTGCCAAAAGGCTGCTGAGGGCTGCCAAAGAGCAACCTTCATGTTCTCCAAGTGGGAGCGCAGCCAGGCTGCGTCCAGGCTCCCGGGGGCTGGCTTGGCAGCCCACTGCTCTCCTGTCCATGTGGGACATCCTGTGGTTTGCACTGTGAACTGGCCACACCAACCCTGGGATCTGAGCTAAGCACCGAGCCCGGCCAGAGCCCTTCCTCGCGCCTGTGCATTGGAGCATGGGGTTTGCCTCCTTAGCACGTTAGCTGATATCTCATTTTAGAAAAAGCCCCCAGAAGGAGACATCTGTGAAATCCCCTTCTCCAGATCTTCCCCACAGCCAAAACCTAACCCACTGCCCAGTACCCTGCATTTGTGGTGCTGTCTCTCCCCCAGCCCAGAGCCCTGACTGGGAAGAAGGGGAAGAGCCATTTCTCACTTCTGGCTGATTTCCTCCTGGCTGCACATCTGCATTGCACTTCTGCCTCCCGTCCCCGTGGGACTCTGCCACAGTCCCCTTGGCAGGTGAACAGAGACAATTTAGTTACAAGTAAAGTCCGCTGTGCTCTAGATTTCTTAACACGACACAAACAAACACTAAACGTGACACTCTCACTTAAAAAAATAATAACACGCTCAAACTGAGAAGGACAAAAGGATTAAAACCGGTGCACACATCAGTCTGAGAAGCATCTTAAATGTGGAAAGAGACACCAGAGTGTCGCATTAGTTTCTGGGATACACTTAGGTATGTATGAAATAGTGACTGGCAGTAGGATTATGCATATACTGGTGCTGATAACGATGTAACAGCTGTAGAGTAAAATATAATCTACAAATAAAAGATATTGCACTAGAGATGGGCCCAAGCTGTGGCATGTGTCCCTTTTTGGGGGGCTCAGTTTGGGTCCACCTCTAAACACAAAAACACATCCAAACAAAAATACTAATCATCAAAACTAAAAACCTGGAGGGACCGGTTCCCTTCAGAGTCTCACTGGAGAAATTATGGCTACAAAACTGATGGGCCCAGAACTGCCGACCATTTCTCCTGGCCCTCACCCGGCGGGCCACGCAGGGACTGGAATGTCGGCAGCAGAGAGAGAGGGAGCCGGGGGCTGGAGCTGGCTCCCCGAGCGGAGAGAGCTTGTCTGGGGGGCTGCTGTAAGCCTCAGCCCTGCCAAGCCCTCTCTTTGAGGAGAGCTGCAGGGATGCTTAGCAAAACGTGTTGGCTTTGCCCGGCTGCCAGCCTGTCCCTGGCTGAGAAGATCTGCTCGCTGCAGCGGGTGTGCATGCCCTGGCTGAATGGTGATGGGAACAGTTGAGTAAGAACAGGAAAGTACCACAAAGTGCAAGACTTGGCCCTTGCAATCACAGGGCCAAAGGCAAATATTTGGTCATATCTCTCTGGAGTGGAGAACGGTACCATTTTACAAAGAGTCTGGCGTACCTACTTTAAGAAGGAAGAGGGAGGTGGGGTTAGCACCCCGTCAGCAGCCAGAACAGGTTTTGATGCAAAGAATAATTGCAATAAATCTACAAATGGGACAAAATGCAATAGGCATCCAAGTGTAGCTAATGCCGAGCTAACAGGACAGGATACCTGAGTTCCCCCAGAAGGGAGAAGAAATAGATCTCCTCTTTCAGGACAGTGGAAACTATTTGATAGTGGGAAATTAGTAATTTCATTAGTAATTTATCTGTACAAGATGGAGATTACTACGGGATTTGTGAAGTAAATAAGCAAATGGCCAAAGGGAGGGTGAGAAGGGGTTAATTGATGGGGAAATCTTTGGGCTGGACAGAGGTAGTAAAAGCAGCTCTCTAGGGTTGCTCTTGATGCTAGAAGTATTTAATATGTTTATTAGTCAGTCCAGCCCAAAAATAACAGCTTGTTAACAAAATGTGCTGATGACCCAATGTCTGGAACAGCGGGGAGTATCTTGGTTAGAAATGCCGGAAGAGTAGAAAGACGTAGGTGCTTAGATTGGTCAGAGGATGACTCCAAACTACCAGTATGTTGTGGCTGGGAAAAGGCCAACATTATCCAAAGCTACACCAGGCAAGTCAAATCCAGTACAGACCAGAACTATTAATGCCCTATGCGAGGTCTAGATTTGACCTCACCTGGAGTACTGGGTACTTCTGGTCACCTTTGATAGAGAAGGACAAATTAAAAATGGAGCTGGTGCAGACAGGGACTATTAGGACGATCCGATGTGCCATCCTACGGGCTCAAGTTGCAGTGACATGGATCCTACCAAGCACCTGACATGTTAGAAAAATAAAGTGGTCTGACCCCAAGGATCTCATGAGTTACTGCTTCTCTGCGGTTAGGATCATTTAATGAACTGTGGCCACAGAAGATGGCTCCTTCATTACAAGCAGAAGGAACAGAGCATGGAAAAACAGTTGTCATTCACAGTGTTTCCTACGGATGGTGGGGAATCTGACCACATGGGCTGAAAATATACTCCACCGGCTGCCAATAAAAGTACTATTTCTTATGTTCACATTCTACCAAGGGCATCAGACCACAAAACATCTACTTCTCTTTTAGCTGCATAAATGGCAGCATTGCAACGATAGACCACTTAAAACAGAAGCTGTTTTGCTGGGGATTTTTGGCAGAAGTTTCATATTTTTAAAAAAAAAAAAAAAAATTCTTAGTGGCTTTGAGGTGGAAGAAGCCCAGCAAGATGCTGATTGAATTTCTGAATTTGTAAACCTGCATGTGCATTTTTTGTAGGATGCACAGAGATGTGCATGAGTAGGGCAATGAAGGGGTTAATGGGAATGGGGGGCATGCAGCGAACAGAGCTCTGTGCAAGGCAAAACTTCTCCTTTCAGAAAAAAACCCCTGCTAGTTTCTACGGTGTCAGAGCTGTAGTTCTGGGGGCCTAGCTTTCATCAGTGCAGAGGTGGGGTTCACCACTGATTTCAAAAGCCTGGTGTTCCTCCTGCTTTGAGTCTCCTCATTCAAGTGGCAGCTGAGAGCACCAGAAGTCCCAGTCCTGCCTGTGAGAAGCAAGAAAGGAGGTGAGAAGCAGGAGGAAGGTCTCTGCCCTTTTATTCTTCAAAACACTTTCCAAGAGAGAGGAATCCTCCCCGATTCCTCTTGCTCTGCTTGGTTCCCCATGACACTTCATCCACAGCCCTGACAGGCTGCACGTGGCTGTGCCTGACCCCTAGAAAGTGGCAGGGTGTGAGATACAGTTCAGCTGGGACCAAACAGCTTCCCAGCCTCTCTCCCTCTCTCTCTTTTGAGATGTCCCTGGGTTGGTGTTCTGGCATCCTTATTGCTCCCCATAGTCTTGCTATGACTCAGGAGGGACCGGTGAGACCTCCCATTCTGAGAAAGGGTGTTTGGGTGAACAGTCTATCAAAAGGGAGCCCTTGCTTCCCAAAGATAAGGCACAAAGATTTTGCAGCTGGCAGGGTTATATGATTTCCCAGCAGATGAGCTGGTTAGTGGCAGGCTGGGCTTAGTGGCAGTAGATTTTTAAATAGCCATATTGCTTCCTTATACTGGCCCTGGCTAGTGGATTAATATATTTGTTCCCTTTAAATCTTCAATGGAGAATAATTAGCTTAGTGTCCACACAGACAACACGAACAACACTGGACTGCCCTCTTTGCTACTACAACAGAGTCATTATGAGAGCATTTTGAGTTCCTGGCATGCCCTTGGGGCTCCTGGTGCCATGCTGGGCACAAAAGGGTTCGGGGTGCGACAGCCCCTCTAGGTGTGTGCAGAGCTGTGCCCCAGAACCATGGGTACCTGTAGTGCTTGTGACACTCTATCCACCATAGAAGAGTTATCAAGAAAGGAAAATGGTGATTCAGTATCTCTGAGACGCTGGCTGGTCTCTCCAGGACTTGGCTGTGCTTGGAGGAGAATCTACCCAATGTACTCTTGATCTCCAGCAGCTGAAGGTTGATGTTGCAGGTTCTCTACACCCCAGCAATGGGCTCCAAGCAAATCATCTGTCCCGGTTGCATTTCACAGAACCATGGTGTGGTTGGTGCTGAGACCATCAGAGAAGTGCTGGTGCAGAGGAGATGAAACTCATTGCCATGGAGGGGGAAGAGGCTGGAGTATCATCTTAGCAATGCAGAAAGTGGCGTCTCTTGTGGAGATCCAACCCACGTCTTCCACTTGAAAAGAAAATGTTGGTCTGTGAGATGTCTCCCTCCTGCAGTGGTTTGATCATTGAGGAGGATGTGGCAGTGATCTGGAAGGTTGCTGGCACTGAGCCACCTCTTTGTAAGGGGGAAGGGAATGGCAATGGGGAAAAGTCTTTAATTCCCCACCCAACACTGGGAGATGGGAGGGAAGGAGGAATGCTGGGACAGGTGGGGATGTCCCAATGTACAAGCGCAAAGCATGGCTCTCTGTGACGTCTGGGTCAGCCCTTCAGCTGGTCTCACTGTGGGGAGATGCAGAGTCAGCCCAGCTCTGACTACAGGAAACTCTCCTCCACCTCTTGGTGCCCTGTGGTCGGCTCCTGGCAGCCTGCCTGTGGGTCGGATTCCTGCTCCTCATCCTGCCGGAGGCCCAGAGGGCTGTCACAGGATATTGTAGATGATGTGTTGGCCTCGTTCAGCGTAGAGCTGAAGGGAGACAAGGAGGAGAGAGAAATGAGTGCCTTGTCCCAAGTGTCCTGGTGAGAGAGGATTCCCAGCGGCTGAGAAGCGCGTCAATCTCCTGGCAGCCCCAGTCTATCTGAGTAGCTTTCCACAGGGGGGCAGACAGTATCACTTGGGTCTATTCAGCCCTCAAACACAACATACAGCCAGTTGGGCTCTGCGGGCTGTGCACCCCAGTGTGCCCTACTCCTTGTAAGTGGGGGTCTCTTTTCCCCAGCTGTGCCAGCTGATGTACGGAGACATGATATGACACGACACCTTATCTTAGCTCACATCCCAGCTCCTCTGGTTCATCTTCATCCCTGCAGGCTCATGCAAGGTCGCAGCACTTCAGATGGGGATGACGCTGCCCTCCTTCTCTCCTGGTAAACCCACCCCTGGTCTGTCCCATAGCAGAGCGTCACCATTTCCTCTTGAGGCCCCCATTTTCAGATTTGGGCAGTGGGGGGAAGGGACAATATTTAGAAGTGATGTTTTTACCTGGCCCGGCTGATGGAGACCTCCTGAGGGAGATCGCAGACTGCCTCGGGTTTGGGGTCGGGAAGAGGGATGATATAATCATTCTCGCCCCCATTCTGGTGCACGGCTGTGTAGAGGATGCTGCCGGTGCACGTAGAGGATGGATATAATCATTCTCGCCCCCGTTCTGGTGCACGGCTGTGTAGAGGATGCTGCCGGTGGGGGAGCTGGGAGTGAGCCTGGCATTGTTCAGCCCAGGGATTGTGGGTCTTGTGCGGACAACAGCAGGGTGGTCACTCTTCATGAACTCTTCATCCACCTGCTGGTACCTCTGCTCTCACAGGGCAGGTTACCAAAGAAACGGGAAGGTCTTGTGAGTGGAGAAAATGCACTTGTGTTATATTTGCTTTCCCTGTCTGCTAGGCTTTTTCTAGAAGGGCTGGCATCTTCTAGCTTGGTTCAGCTACCCTGTCTCCACCAAAACCAGGTCATGAACATTTCCTAAGGGAGAGATCAGGGGCACAACTCCACAGCTCCAAAATACCAAACAGTTGGAGGCAGGTTTTTGATCTCCTGCCAGTTCTGATTTCCGCAGTTGCTGAGATACCAGCTGCCTGTCTGGCGATGCCAGTTGTCTCAGCAATGTCCCCAGGATGCCCAAACCACCTTCGTGCTGTTCAAACTAATGCAGCCTTAGTCACAGCAAAATCCTCTGGCACAGCAACACTAAACGCTGGTCTCCAAACCCTGATTGAGGGCTCTAACCAAGGCAGCATCCTCCACAGAGCACTGACCCTCTTCTGTCCCTCCAGCACAGGGTCCTTTGAACATACCTTTCTGTAGCAATCCACCAAGAGGTTTCCCATAAGCACCACCAGCTGTGAGAAGGATGGTCTGATCTCAAACTTCTCCTCCCAGCACTTCTGCATGATATCGTAGCTAACAAGAGGGAAGAGAGAGCACTCTGGTGAGTTAGCAGGTGGGGAAAACAGAGGCAGAAATGCTTCTGCAGTTTGTGTAGGGCAGGCCCAGGGCAAATGCATATGGGCAGCACTTACATTTCATCAGAGGCGTGGGTGGGTTTGGACATCCGATAGCCACGTTTGATGGCGTTGTAGAACTGTTCGTTCATAGGCAGTTCGGGGTATGGAGTCCCCCCTGGGTGTAAAGGGAGAGCAGGAAATCAGGCTGGTGGATTGCCTGCCACCCCCATGCCAACATGCATTTCACACCAAGGTTTCCTTTTTTCTTTACCTTTCCTGTTTCATTTCACTTCTAAATGGCAACGTCAGCATGGGAAAGAAGGAGACAGGGAATGAAGTGCTACTCTCACTGGTAAGGTTGGGACTTGGGGATTAGAAATGTATTTCTATTGTCTCTGGGAAGGGATCCTACTAACATGCTATCAGACCTACAGACGCCACCATGATCTCTAGGGCACCTACCTAGAGTGAATATCTCCCAGAGGAGAATCCCAAAAGACCACACATCACTCAGGGTGGTGTAGAGGTTGTTGAAGATGCTCTCTGGAGCCATCCACTTAAGGGGCAAGAAGGTCTAAAAGGAAAAAAATGGAACAAGAAGAGAGTCAGCTGCATCTACAGCACTTGTTTCAACAGGTGAGAGTCTGACACCCAATTTACAAGCAGAGAAGACCCTTCAGAGCTGTCCATCAGCCTAACACATCTGCTGACATCTGCTGTCAGCTCCTTCTTGGAGGGACCAGTTTCCTCTTTCCTTGTGCAGGATGAACTCAGCAGGCAGGAGGAAAGAGTGGGTGTGCTACATCCATTTACATCGCTGTCTGCCATGACGAGCTGTCATGGTGTGCGTTCTCTGTTTCCTAGTTCTTGGGGAGTCCACTGACTTGCACAACGTGACCACAGCATTCCTGAAGGGAGTCCAGGCCAATCTGGACTTTGGAAACCTGAGACCAGGCTGGAGAGGGCTGTGGGATGACCAGAAAAGAGCTGAAGGACACATCCAGCTTTTTCCTGCTCTTACTCACTCAGAGTGATACACGAAAAGGAGCCTCACTTGACCAGCTTGTATGCAGCACTGGCTGTGCTGTTCCTGGGATTCGCTTGCACAACGAATACCAAAATAATCTCCAGGAAGGATTGCAAAGGGGCCCAGTTTCATTTCCCGTTTTGGAAGGAAAACCAGCTAGGCCAAGGCTGGACTGGAAAAGCCCAGCCCCTCTGCAGGAGGGTCTCCCTGCCCAGGCACTGAGTGCCTGTCTGCCATCCCATGCAAATGGGAGACAGCATGAGAGAAGTTAAGTAGTTCATAGAGTAGATAAAGATTGGGGTTCGAGAGGCCTGGCTCTACTCTCAGCTCCCCCAGCCTCAGTTTCTCCGGGAATTACATGGCCTGCTTTGCTTGGGGTTGCATGTTCCCAAATGCCCCAGGGCTGGAGTGAGCATGCTGCTGTTGAAGTCACAGGGGAGGTTCTGGGGAAGCTCAATTACAGCCTCATCCTCTCCTGCCTCGAAAGATTGGAGACGTCTTTCTGGAAAGTAGCTGCTCGCAGGAAAACACTTCCTCTTACCCTGTGGTCTAGTGGTTAGAGCAGAAGTCTGTGAACCTCTTCCCAGTGTGTCCAGTGACTCACCGCAGCACTGTCAAGCTGCCTAACCTTGCACTCCTCCTGCCTGCAGCTCAGGACCAGACTCAGCGCCATGCAGGGAAGGGATGCAGCACTGCTGCCAGTGACAGGCTGTGCTGGGGACAATCCTTAGTTTTGCTGCTGCTGCCCAGGTTCTTCTGTAAGAGCCTGGAGATATGGGCATGCAATACTGCTACTCCAGAGCGTGCAGAGCACATCAGGTGTAGGATGGTTGGCTGTTGACACCATCTCCTGGGAGTCCTGCCCTGTCACCACCCCAGGGCACAATGATGGACAGGTGACTCACAGGGGGAGCATGTAGGGGGTGCCAGGCCCAGATCCCTGGGAAGAAGGGACTTGCGTGGCTCAAGGTACTCACGCTGCCTTTGGAGATATAGTTGGAATCCCTCATGATGTCCCTCGCCAGGCCAAAGTCACAGATCTTCACCAGCTTCCCCTCGCAGATGAGGACGTTCCTGGCAGCCAGGTCACGATGCACACACTGTAGGGGGAAGGCAGGGCACTGTCACTGCAAGTGGCCCCCAGACAGCCCGAAGAAGCAGCCCAGCTCCAGCACTAGCCCATTTCTGGGGCTGCAGGGACAGGGGTCACCTCACATCATTTGAGGCATCTCCTCCACCTCTAGGGACAACCATGGCTCAAGGGCACTAGCAAAGCTACCACATTTTCGCTGCACACCTGGACTGCTACCCCTGTGACAGCAACAGGCATACAAATCCGGCAAGGGCAATTTGAACAACCCAGCAGAGAGGGGATTGCCAGGGCCTGACCAAGCAAGGGGGCTGGTAGGCTGGCAAGGAGGGGGTGTCTCCATCTCTGTTTGGACAATCCAACCCAGCAGTCTGAAGACATCAGAGTTACACCAGCCTAGCTTGTGCCTCCTGGTTTGCCAGCATGTTGGATGTTTTCCATATGAACAGCCTGGAGGTTTGCTCAGGACCCTGCCAGACACTACTAGTGAGCATGGTGATATTACACCACTGTAAAGTGTGACTGTGGGAAGCTGGGAGCTCCTCTTCTGTGCTCCATGGGGGAGCACTGACCATGCACTTTTGGGGATCAGACTGTCTGGCTGGAGGCAGAGAGCCAGGAATTTCTCTCCGCATGTCATTGATGCCATCCCTACCCCTTTTCTTATCCCTGCCCTGTGTGATGTTTCACACGGTCCAATTATATTACTGCCTGCCCTGGGCTATGCCAGACCTTAGGAAATCCCAGAGCCTAGTCCTCTGTTGTGGCTTAATTTCCACTAAAGAAGCACTTCTGATGAGGCCTGGAGAGCTCAGAGCATGTGGTGCGATAGGGGTGTCCATGGAGAGTAGTAGCTCTGCTGCAGAGTGCCTTGTGCTTTTGCACAGGGAGGTTATCACTGTTTGGTCATCCTGGTAAATAGGGATGATATAATACCACAGCTGTGTTGCACATGGCTTGGGAGGAGCTCCGAGTCAGGGAATTTGAGGTCTGAAGCTCGATCTAAGCCAGGGTTAGCTGTCACGTGCAAATATAGTCATGCTGATCCTCAGGGCTGTGTTTCCAAAGAGAAGTGGTCAGCAACTCTTCAATTGCATGGCCACTTCTCCCATGAGGAGGTTGGCATGGACAGAGGGACAGTGAGCGGAAGTTGACCACAGGACACAGCAGAGCATTGTTGGCCTCCACCGCTGCAGGCACCATGGACCAGCCGGGATACGTACATTTTTGGAAGCCAGGAACTCCATCCCATTGGCCACCTGGAAGCTGAAGCCCACCAAGTCCATATAGCTGAGGAGCGGAGACTCGTTTATCAGCGTCACCCGGTCTGTTCTTTCAGGAGCTGGAGGGCAAGCAGAAATGGATGTTGGTGTTACTCAGCACACTCATGGGCTGCCCGCCAGTGGAAGGACCCACTGGGGATTGCTCTGCCTCCAGCAACAAAGGGACAGAGCTGGGAGCTCCCATCGTGAAGGCATCTGCCACCACTGCTGGACTCGTCCCAAAGGTGACCTTTCCAATATGGACGATCCGTCTCTGCAAGCAAAGGCATCCAGCGCCCAAAGTGCAAGCACCTCTCCCTCCCGCTATGGCTGAGCTGTTACCTGACGGGGAATAGCTGTCCAGCTCATATGGGGTGCCGTAGTTAGAGGACTCGATGTCAGCGTACTTGACTTCACCCTTCATGTCAGACATGGGCACATAATCCAGTGAGTCGTCCTTGCTCATGTCCATGTAGCCCCCGTCGCTCTCCACAGACAAGGAGAGGTGACTGTGGGGGCATGTAAAGAGGCTGTTCAGATCCAGAGGGGAGGAGGAGATGCAGGGGATGGGAACAATGATTTGTGGGACTGCAATTCCTGAATCCTCAGCCCCGGCACTGAAATGTCCCACACAGCAGGGAAAGAAGCCCTGCATCATGCATGCAGAGAAGTGCAAATGACACTGGAGGCCTCCTTCCACCACCTAACAGCTCTGGTGTCCTCAGGGCTAGCTTTAAACAGCCCCGCCATCTTCCCCTGCGGGTCTCCAGGTATCCTTGCCCACAGGCTGCAGCTTCTCATGCCCACCTTGCCTGGCAGAGCACAGGCTTGGCTCAGCACACGAGCTCAGCACTGGGGAGGGCAGGAACGGGAGGCAGGGCCATGCAGCTCCACAGGCACCCACAGGACAGGACGGCAGGAGACCCAAGCCAGAGTGGGCAGGTGAAACCCTCCACCTTGGTGGTGTATGTTCCCAGGCTGGCCAGGTCTGACCTGGAGAAGACTGAACTGAGCAGGCAGGACACAACTCTTTGTCCACAGTTAAACCTTCCCAGTTTGGATCAGCAAACATCTGCACCCTTGAGCACCTCTCCCTTGCGTGACCAACAACTGCATCTGGGAAGCAGCATCTTGAGGCCTTCCACATGATGGTGCTGGGCAAGGGAAACCTGCTGCATGGCCAGAGCTGTCGGGCACGTCCCCACGGGCTTGGGAGGCTGTGCTCGGTGCTTAGGAGGATCTCAGCTGCCTTCAAGCAGAAAGCACAGGGGGCAGCTGTGCTGATGTCCTAACACTGCTCTATTTTACTATTGTTTTGGCGTGCTGGAAGGAAATGCTGCTTTCTAATTTCCCATGGGACCGTTTCTGTGCACTGATCTGCCTGCATCCCTTACAGCTGGCAACTGGATGAAGGACCGTTTCTCTTTCCTTGAAGCACCTCTTGTGCAACTGCACTCCTTCTAGCACTTCTCCCTTAGGCTCAGTAGCAACGAGACCTGCCCTGAAAATGCAGAGCTGAGGTCTCCAAGGGTTAAGACATGCTGGGAAACCCTTCGTCTCCGTACTCGAAGTGTAGCTGTGGTTATGCTAGTAAAGTTAACGATGCCAGGGAATATTCCCAACTGGCATGGAGCAGCCAGTGTGTGTGCTAGCAAACTCAGCCTCCAGGACACACAGATTGCCTCTGCTAACTTCCCGTCTGCCAGGAGCTGTTTGGAGGTGGCTTGTTGGCACATGGGCCAGTCTCACAAGGTAAGAGAGTGGCCAACTGTGTCCCAGTGCTGGGCCAGTGTTTACTTTACTGGTCTGGAGGAAATGTAGGTATCCTTCCTGGCAGTACCAGCCTCCCTCATTGATGGGGGCTAGGATGGGGTAGGCACCAGGGAGGAGGACAGTGCTGCTTTCCAGGTACCTCTGCACGTGGTCCTCCTTGGCGGTGTTCCCGTACACCTCTGCCTCTCGCCGTGCCTTCTCTCCATAGGACTGCAGGAAGGTGTGCTTGTTACGGTGCAGGTAGTCCACCAGGTCCCCATAGCGGCAGTACTCGGTGATGATATAGATGGGCCCTGGTGGGAGAAAGCACCCGTGTCAGCCCTGCCTCAGCCCCGCTCACTCCCCGGGGCAGGGAATTTCATCCCACAGGGACATTACCAGATTGCAGGATATCTAGGCAGGGCCAGGGGGAAAAGCCATCTTTCTGGGTACCGAGCATTTTTGGAATTTGAAATTTGTGTTTGGGGAGGGAGGTGGGGGTTAACAGAAACACGCCTTCTCAGTTTTAATCAGGTTGGAAAGAAAGGCTTTCAGAGCCCCACAAGGGTTTCCTAGTGGAAGGGTGAATCATTCTGAACCAGAAAACAGGAATTATTCTCTCTGAGGACAGTTCTCCTACTCAGAACAGCCCAGGGCAGCAGGGAGAGGAGACAAGGCGCCCAGGGTTCATCTACCTCCTTTGGTGCAGGCCCCCAGCAAGTTCACGATGTTGAGGTGAGGTCCCAAGTGGCTCATGATCTTCAGCTCGGACATAAGGGCTTGCTTCTCGCTGCTCCGGGCAGTGGCTGTTGGGGAGAGCCGGTGTGAGCGGACGGGCGAGGAGCGGAGCACATGGGCACCATTCGGCCTCACAGCTTTGGGATGGGGTAAGGTATGGTGCGGGGACAACTCACACTTGAGCATTTTGACCGCCACTTTCATGGTGGACTGCGAATGGCTCAGGCCATGGGCTGTTGCCTCCACCACACGTCCAAAGGCACCGGAGCCTAGAGTGCGTCCTGCAAAGAAACAGCGAGGAGACAAGATTGGCAGTACTCCTCGAGAAGAGGTGAGGCGAGGAGCTTGGAAAAGGCAAGTCCTCTGTTTGAAACCACACCAGCCTTGCTGCAGTCATCCTGGTGGGCATGGAGGTGGTGTTTGTGGTTGGGGCTGGTTTCTGTCCGGCTGGGAAGGGAAGGAGCTTCCAGCCATAGGAAAGGATAGCCAGGAATAAACCAGTGCCTCATGCCAAAGGGAGCAGCTGGCTTCCCACCGTGGTCCCAGATGGTCCCTCTGTCCCAGGACCACATCGTATCTTGAGGGATCTCTGTGCCCTTTCTGGGTTGGTCTCTTTTGGAGATCCCAAACCCATTACCCCCAGACAGCCAGAACCCCAGGGGTCCATCAGTGGGACCTGCACAGCCTTTACCTAACACCAGCTTGTCCCTGGGCACCTCCCAGCTGGAGTCGTAAGGCAGCTGCATGGGATCCACATAGATGTACTCATGCCCATCGGAGCTGACTGACTCAATCACCTTCCAGCGGATTTCATAACGAGGTTTCTGGAAATGGGAGCAAAGGGGAAAGAGAGATCTGAGGGGCTGAGGATCAGGGAGGGCATGGGGGATGTGGATGGGCTTTGTCAGGGAGTCTTTTGTCCCTGCAGCCATTGCCTCATGCCCCATCTAGCCTACAGATGCCGGGGGGGCCACGGTCCCTGGAATGGGTGGGATATCATCAAGCCCATGCCAGCAGGAGCTCACAGCTTTGCTCTTCCCAGCCACCCTGACATGGGGGTACCACTGTGGCAGCCTGGGAACGCTCTCCTCTTTTACCTTCTGCCACAGGACAATCAGGATGATCAGGGAGATGACGGTGAGGACCAGCAAGGCCAGGATGACAGAGATGATGACCACTTTGAACGGCAAGGCTACAATGATAACAGGGACAGCAGTTAGAATCCTCCAACCTTGCATGGCCTGGGTACCCTGGGAAAAGGAGGGGACAACAGCACAGAGGGATCCCTGCACCCTTCCCCTTTCCTCCTCTAGCCACCATCCCCCTCCTGCTACACAACTCCCCCCAGACATCGACCCTGAGCTCTCCTCTGGGTGGGGGCAGTCCCTGTCCTCTCCTCCTGGGCAGACCTGCCCAGCACTTGCAGGGCCAGCACCCAGGGATAATGGGGTGATGGGTTGTTACAGCTTGTTGAAGGGCTTCCTGCCTTGGGAGAGGTTTGACCATGGGAGGCTGTAAGGAGCTAGAGGGGCTGGTTTGCTTGGGGGAGAGCTGGCAGCCCTGGACCTGGGCTTAGACCATCATTCCTCATATTTGAGATGTTCAGCGCATGGATGTTCGAGTCCATGGCACCATCTAGTGACCCGCGGGCTAATAACAAGATACCACGGACCTGCTCAGGCTCTCTCATCTCGCCTCCCTGGAGGGATGACCCTGCCAGTGGACATAAGGGCTCCAGACTCCTCCTGGAGCAACCTTTCCTGCTCAACCCAAAGGAGGCTTCATTTTGGGCAGAATACCCAGGCTTCCTGCCTTCGAGGTCTGCAGCCATCAGAGGGCAGTCCTGGCTCTTAGCACCTCCATGCTGGAGGCACAGAGAGGGAAGTCTAGCTCCCCATCGCCTGCTCAAACGCCTCCCGCAGCGCTCACCGTGTGGGACCAGAGTGATGTCCTGGGAGTTGGTGCCCAGGAAGTTTTGCACGGTGCATCTCAGGAGCAGGGGCTCGTCCACCCTGTGCAGCTGCAGGGTGCTGTTCACGCGGTACACCTGCAGCTTCGCGTGGTACGTGGCATTGGTCTGCAGACCGATCTCCGCGGACTCGTTCCCCAGCAGCCGGGTGGGCTGCCCCTTGGTGCTGCACCTGGTCCGGGGGAGGATAAAGGCACCTGAGAGGCAGCTGGGACCACGCGCCACCATGGGATGCCGGGCATGTGGGTCAGCAGAATACAATAAAATAATAGTCTATTATTCTAATGAATGTGAGAGTCCAGCCATTCTCATGGGCTCCATCACTCCGCTTACCATTTGATGTCGCTGCAAGTAGACCAGCTGATCTCCGGCTGGGGCATGCCTTCAGCAGAGCATGTTACGGTCTGCTCCCCACTGCTGGCACTGCTGTTCTCCTTGAGGTCCACCACTTTGGCTGGCACTGAAACCAAGAGACAGTGATGGGAATTAATTCTCCTTTCTGACTGCAGGATGGAAGGGGAACGTGATTCCACTGTACTCCTAACATGGCCTGGGGGTGAGGAGACAGCGAGGTAGGACTCATCACATCAATCATGTTTTATTTTTGAAAGCTAACAGCAAAAAGAGAAAGGTTTGAGGGGGTTATGGAGGAGACCTGCCCCCATCTAGCTTGCTTGGAGAGCACAGGCGAGCACAGGGAAAAGTCCTGGACATCAGAGCTGCGCAATCATCTCTGCATCTACTACCTTGGGCCAGGGCATGAAGGCCAGGCTGCTGGTGTCTGCACTGCCTTCCTGTCCTCCTGCTCTGAGACCAAGCGTGAGATATCTCAAATGAGCATGTTTCTTGCTTGAATGCTCTTCCTTTAACCAAAACCACTCTGGAGCTGTAGTCAGAGGAGTAAGGGCTTCAGCCTGAGGGTCCTGAGGCAAAGGATGGAGCCATCCCCTGAGACTGCCCCCACACTCCTCAGCCCCATGTCTGCATGCCCATCCTCACCATTTATCTGCAGATGGAAGGACAGCTCCTGCTCATCGTCCTCATTGGAAGCCCGGATGGTGTAAAATCCTCCTTCTTCCTGCTTCACCCGTACCAGCACCAGAGCCGTCTGGTACCTGGAGGAGACACAGTCCCCAAGTGATGGGTGTGGGAAGGTACCTCAGGACTGACAACGCTTGGAGGTGACCAGCGCCCACCCAACTGAGGCATGCTCAAAATCCACTCACAGAAAGGCATTCAACCACCAACCCATGTCCAACAAGTGATTTGCAGCTTACTTTGTGAATTATCCCCTCCCTGCACCCCAGTGAGGAGTGATGGGCCCTTACCTGGTTTCTGACAGGTTCCTGCTGGTGATGGTGAACTCGCTGTTGCTCTCCACGGTCAACGTCTTGTTGTTCTTCAGCCACACGATGCTGGGTTGTGGGTAGGCCTCCACCTCCACCTGGATGGTGCGGCTCTTGTGGACCTCAGCATACACTGTGCTGGGCAGGTGGGTGTGGAAGCGCACGAAGCCACGTTCTGAGAGGGGGCAGGAGGGATAGGGGGGGTCAGAGTTAAAAAGAGACCCCTCTCCAGCCCTTTGGACAAACATGGATCTGGCACAAAACACCCTGAACACACAGAAGTGGTGGGGCAGCTCCAGATCCATCCCTCAAGGCTTCAGGCTTGCGTCCAAAGGGAGTGGGGGTGCAGAGCCACACTTTGGAGCAGGGGAGCTCATGAGGCAGGCAGCACGCAGGGAAAAGGCTGTTATCTTGTAGGGATGGGGCAGGTTCCTTCAAATTACATGAAAGAAGGACAGATGCAGATGGGAGGTGGCAATTTGACCTCACAGTGCATCGGCACTGCACAGTGCAGAAGAGCTCTCACCCACACCCTCAAGTGTCTTAAAGGGTCACAAAAGCTGTGGTGGGGGGTTTGGGATGTTTTGAAGCCAAGAAGTGGGCAGGGGTGACTTGGGGTGAGGGCTGTTTTTTTGCCATGGCTACTAAGGGCAGAGGCGAGGAGGGGAGGGAGCTGGAGGTTGTGCGGAGAGAAGAGGGTGTCACCCTGGGGTATCCTGCCTGGATGCCCATGTGGTTTGCTGGCTTTGGGCACGTGGGCAGCGACGCACCGATCACATGGACCGTGATGTCTTTCCGATCCGTTTTCTCATGGTAGCCCTCAGAGACGTTGCAGATGTAGGTCCCGCTGTCCTCCAGCTCCGCATTCTGGATGATGAGGATGGAGCGGATCTCATGGGTGGATCCGGGCAGGAAGTCAGTCACCGGCTCTACAGCCTTCCCTGCCTGCACAACGGGGACAGGAGATATGGTCTGAGAAGTCAACAGCATGTTCTGCCGTTGGAGCTACAAAGCCAGGCTCACAGGGAGGGAGGAGGAGGGGGTAGAGGACCCCAGTCTGGCTGCCACAGGGACAGGGAACATGCATTGATCAGAGGCCACTGAGACAGACAGCCTTAATCCAAGGATCTCCCCATCAAGCCTCCCTGTGTGGCAGCATCATCATCCCACAGCTTCTGCCATGGGGTGAAGCTTCCTATGAAGCTTCGCCTAGGATATTGATGAGTGATTGCCATGGGACATCTGGGCGAAGGCTGGAGCTGCTGCCCGGAGCCTGTGGGGCTGGAGCACTCACTTGCTTGCGGGGATAATCCCAGTTGAAGTTGACTAGCTCATTGCCGCTCACGGTGCACATCAGGGTAACGTTTTCTCCCTGACGAACTATGGTCTGCACTGCGCTGATGGAGACGTTCACAGATGACACTGTGGGAAAGGTGAAAGAAAGGAATGAATAATGAAGGAAGGGATGAGTGGGCACCCAGTCCATTTATCCTGCGTGGACTGGTCCACTGGAAAGTCTCTTCCCTGAGGGATAGAGCTGACACTTTGGCAGAACCCATTGTCTAATGGAGACAGGACTAAATCCAGCCTCCAAATTGATCAGGGGCATCGCTAAGGAGACAGGGGGAGAGCTTTGCTGTCCCTGCCATTGGGCTGAAGGAACAGCCACAGCAGGTGCACAGGTATGCTAAGACAATGGCAGCTCACCCTGGATCCTGTAGACATAGAAGGTGTCTGAATCCACCTCCTGGTCATCCACGATTGTCCGGCAGAAATAGGTCTTATCCTCAAAGAAGCCTTTGAATCCCTGTTGTGGGTCATAAGCAGCTGGGATGGGGTTCTCCACCTTTTTCTCATAGAGGGTCACCTGCATCTGCGGGTTGGTCACGCGGCATGGGATGATGGCCTCTGTGTAGCCCGTGATGAAGATAAAGAGCTCTTCGGAGGTGATTGTGGGGAGGAAGACTAGGGAGGGATCTGTGGGAGAGAGGGAATGCTGGTTACGGAAAGCTGCTTGAAGCTGAACCAGGGCTGCTCTGTGCTCCTTCAGGACTGCTCCAACACAGGGCTCTGTCTCCAGACTGGTGGGATGCTTCTTCCCTTAATCCCCATGGCAAAATAGAGCTGCAATGTCGCGGGCTTGCCAAACCTGTCCTGGGAGGGTGAGAGAGACCCAGACGCTGCCGCCTAGCACCGTTGCCTCCCCCACCACTTGTCCCAACACACCACACATGGGTCTCTCTCATGACCTGGCATACCAGAGACATGCCACAGCCAGATGACCTGCCATGAGGGCTCTCCTGCAATGGGAGGAAGGATTTTGAGAGGCCAGTCACTTGGAGACAGGACGATAATCCAAAGACCTCTTTCTCCTGGTTGTTAAACCCTGTGGAAATGCAGAGACAAGGACATGCTGTCCCCTACCTGGAACGTAGATGTACAGGGCTTTCCTCTCTGCTGGCTCTGGAACCTGGTCAGGGCTGTAGGTGCACGCATACTCCCCGGTGTGACGGCCCGTCACGTTCCTGAGGGTGAGATTGCTGACGAAGACACCATCCCTGTGCTCCAGCGAGGCAGCGAGGGGCTGACCCTCCCGTTCCCAGACCAGCGCGCCATCCCCATAGCACAAGAGGGAGAAGGTGCTGTGGAGGCCGAGGACAAGCTCAGTGTCTTTGGGTTCGATGTGCAGCCCGCTGCCCCCGGATGTTACCTCCAGCAGACCTGGGAGAGGAGGGAGATGAGACCAAATTGGATTCCTCTGGAATCCAAGGAGAAGCACGCTGGAGCACAACCTCACGCCAATGTATTTGGTTTGTAGTGTCAACCTTTACACTGAAAAATAACCTTCCTGGATTTGTCCTCCTTGGCGTAGCCACCACTGACAAACACATGCTCTCCTCAGAAATGTCCTGTTGACGTAGACCTTCGTGGGTCACCCTTCATTCCCTGTACCTCCTGAAAGCCTTACTGGGGAGGAAATAAGACATCATGGGGTTTAGCAATGTTCAAAGGTGCCCATCTTGTCTGTGGCAATGCTGGGTGGAGAACCCCCCATTTTATGCTTTAATTATGTCTGCTCCCGTCCAACCTTTCTGTGAGGTAACTGCACCCTCAGTGCCACCCAGTGCTGCCCAGTGTCACGGGGCGGTGAGGAGCAGAAGGCTGGCTTGGGAGGGATTTGGGGCAGCCGTTGAAACGGTGGGTGTGAACAGAGATGTGCTGGGAGGCAGCCATGCTGTGATGCTGTTGCACCAGCCCAAGTGGCATCCTTGGTGAGGACGGGGCTGGAAATGGGGGTGACCTGGGCCTCCCCCACGTTTGCTCACATTCTTGGCTTTTATGCATCCTGTGAGCTGGTCTAGATGGCCTGGGGAGCTGGCAGTACAGACAGTACTGCTGACCCCAAAATGAGCCTGTCTCTGCAAAGGCAGAGGTAGGTCTCAGATGCACCTTCAAAGGCTTGGAAAGGCCATGCGTTTAGCAGGCAAGGGGGAAAGGAGGAGATGAGGCAGTTCCCTGCTCTGCTGGCTGCCTCTCCACAGGGACAGTGTCAGACGGGACACAGACCAGGCTGAAACAATGTCAGTTTACAAGAAAGTGAAAAAGGAATGAAAGCAAAACCTTGCAGGAAATCCTTTGGAAGCAATAGAGCAGGCAAGGTCTTCCTGAATGGCTCCCCGTGTCTCTCCCAGCTTCCTTGCTTCACCCTTTGCCCAGATGTCCCAGTGGGGCTGGGATACGTGCTCCTCCCAGGTGTCCCCACGGGTGGGCAGGGCAGCTGGGGACAGCGCCCAGGGACTCGCAGCAAGGCTGTAAACAGCCCAGATGCAGCCAGGTGCCCTGCTGCCTTGCTGTGGGGGGTTATTGTATATATGGGGGTCTGACCGAACCCTTCCTGCTGTGGGGGTGTCCATAATGTCCAGATAATGTGGGTTCTTGGGTGTCTGCTAAGGGCTGAGCGCACCTGGCAGTGCTCCCTCTGCAAAGGTCTCCTCCTTCCACCCAGCTGTGCGTCAGCACGAAGCAGGTGGGGACTTTACATCCACCCTGCCATAGGATTGGGTCAGCATAAGCCCATGGACCTGAGTCATTAGGAGGGACAGATGGCCTGGAGCGCGCTGTGCACCCCTGTGCCTCCCCACGGCATTGCCCCTTTCCTCCCCCTTGCCCTGGAGCAGACATCCCAGGGCAGCATCCCCATGCAGGCCCCAATCCTCTACACACCTCCCCAGCCACAGCACTCACCGGTGAGGATGAGGAGCCAGAGAGATGTCTTCAGAGAGGGGCACAGCATGGCGGGCTCCGTGGCTCGGTGGCCAAATCCTGCCAAGAGCAAAGCAGGATGAGCACAGCACTGCTGGCAGAGGAGGGGTCCCTCGGCCACCCCGGGCAGGGGAGTTCCCAAGCTCTCACCCGAGCCCCGGGCTCCCTTCTCCACCTCAGAAACCTCCCATCTCTTTCCAGTTTTCATCCTTTCCCTCGTGGTGGGATGGTGAGTTCCCCCTCACGCTGGATCTGCAGAAGGAGCTATTTCTAAAGCATCTCCTGCTGGTAAACAGGGATTTTGCTGGAGGCTCCAGCAGTTGTGTCAACTCTTGCTCATCTCTGCTCGAAATGCCGCTCCACCCGCTGCAGAGCCCTGCCTTTCTCCCTCCCTCTGCTCTACCGCTTGCCTTTTTTTCCATTATTTTTTGCTTCCCTCAGTCCCAGTGAGATAAAACTTGCTAGCAAACAGATCCCCCTCCAACCCTCCCACATTTTCTGCTCCTTCCAATGAAATAAAACAAGCCCAAGGAAACCCCACAAAAAATGGGTTTCTTGTATTTGACTTTTAAATATATATATATAAAGGGAATATTTAAGAGGGCTTTTTAGTTAAAAATCCCTTTTACCAACATTTCTCAAGAAATCTTTTCCACAGAGCGTTTTCAGCCCTCCCTGGTGCAAACCGAGAGCCCAGAAGAGACGAGGCCAGAGCTCCCTAAGAGCAGTGGGGTCTGTCCCCCGTGTAATGGGGTGACAGGTAACCTTCCCCATCTTGCCTGCAGCGATGGGGGTGAGTATTTCTGAAAAGCAAAATGAAGAAGCTAACAAGGGGAAGAGTAAGGGGAAAGGCTTCCTCTGTGCCTGGACAAAGCTGGGGGGAAATGAGTTCAGTAGTCCTGAACTTGGTTGGGGATGGTCCCGCATGGAGCTGAACTTCACGGCTCAGCCACGCTGCAATCCGGGGCTGAGCTCCTGCCCTGCCACTGCGCCACCTCCCCTCTCCCAGAGCAAGAGGCATTTTGAATCTGCTCCCAAGGCAGACCCCAAGGAGAAGCCCCTGTAATGCCGGCACAGTGCTCTGGGGAGCTGCTCGCCAGGCACGAGGACGGCTAGTGGCAATCTGGACTTGCTGACCTGGCCCCAGGCATTGTCTCTTCCTGAGCGGCTCTGCTGCCTCTTGGCCCTGGAGCGGCCTCCTGGACTGCTTGATGTTAAGGAGGAAATGGTTTTTAAATGACGTGCGCTTGTCAGATGTTTTTATTATTCTCTTGCTTTGGCTCAACAAAAGTCTGATCTACCAGCAAATCCTTCCAGGTCTCCAGCTTATTCAGCAGCTTCCCTCTCCCCCCTCCAGAAACCCCCCCTGTGACTCCTTCTCTCTTCTGCATTTGCCAGAGGGGATGAGAGCACTTACGGGGAAGAGCTGGGGGTGGGTAGGATGAAAGGACCAAGGTGAAATTCAGGCTGTAAATGAATGTGACCTCACTGCACCCACCCAGAGAGCACCAACCTGCAGGAGAGAGCAGGAGGATGGACAACCTAATCTCGCTGCCCCCCAAGGCACTGCCATGAAGAACAATTAGCTTTGTTTCCCAATTCTCCTTTAGAGAGGTGTGTGATTCATCCATTATTCAATGTTCAAGGTTGTAAGGACAACTGGGATCCTCTCCTTTCACCCCTCCCCACCTGCATGCACAAGCCAGGCTGTATTTGCGTCCGTCCCCGTCTTCCCCCCCCCCGGCAAATAAGGTCTGCAAATAGCCAGCAGCTAAGGTCTTCCCAAGCTCATGCCCAGTAAGGCACTGCCATGAAGAACAATTAGCTTTGTTTCCCAATTCTCCTTTAGAGAGGTGTGTGATTCATCCATTATTCAATGTTCAAGGTTGTAAGGACAACTGGGATCCTCTCCTTTCCCCACCCCCCACCTGCATGCACAAGCCAGGCTGTATTTGCGTCCGTCCCCGTCTTCCGGCAAATAAGGTCTGCAAATAGCCAGCAGCTAAGGTCTTCCCAAGCTCATGCCCAGTTTTTAGCTGCCTGTCCAGCTTCGTGGCTGTCACTGTTAGTCCTGTTGCAGGCGAGATCTTGGCTTCCTCTACCCACACAGACAGGTCCCTCACTCCACCAGTGATCTCTGCAGGATCACTGATGGGGCAAACCACTGCTCTGCCGCAGCCGGGGAGCTGGACGCGGGTGCATGCTGGTGCTGGGCTGGCATGGCTGTTGCTTCGGCAAGCAGTGAGAGCCCTGCAGCCTCTGGCTGCCGCCTCTGGCTGCCTCCCCTGTGTTCGTAGCTGGTTTTAATAAAGCTGCTGGTTTTGCAGAAAAGCATTTCTCTTGGAGATGCTTCCCAAGAAGAGTGGGAGGGTGGCAACGTCTCGCAGAGTGGTGACCTCTCCCTTGTTTGTCTGCTCTGGCCAGGGCGAGAGGCATGCTCGGAGATGCTGAGCTGTGCATGTCCTGCAGGATGCACGCAGAGCCTGGCTAGCAGAAGGACAAACCTTTCTCTCCCTGTCACGAGGACCTGTGTGCTTGCACATGTGGGTGCACACAGGCATTTCACAAGGGATGCAAATGCACCCAGCTCACTGCCAGTCTTGAGAGCACTTGTTTCCCTCCTCAATCTCAGCTTTTGTTCTCAGCGAGAGCAATAAGATGCACCCTGTGAGTGCCAGACAAGGAGGAGCTGAGGTGGGTGCAGCCCCACTCAGTGATCCAAAAGCAGGTGCCCAGACATTATCCCACCCAGGGACCCAGACACAGGCACCTACACGACGCTCAGCTGCCTTGGATTGTCTCCTCCCAGCCCTATGGGTGAGCAGGGTGCACAGACCCCTCAGACTCCTACATCCTTCCCACGGGCCAGGACCTGAGCATTTTCAAGCCACGGGACCGTTTGCCTCCACCCATCCTGGCACATGCCTGGAGGCCAGGGAGGTCCTACAGCGATGCCGCGTCTAGCGCCCTTCACTCAGCCTTGCAGCTCCATGGCAGCCTCCCACCTTGCAGCTGCCGAGGTGAAGTCCCAGCTCTCCATCCCCGCGTTATACCCCTCACCATCCTCTCCTTCCTGCCAGCACAGGTACAGACCTTCCCTCTGCCCCTCTCTGGCACCGTGATGCCAGGGCAAGCCGTCCCCGGCCTGGCAGGGCAGGGAGCTTTTCTCTTGAACTGCACTGTTTATTATTCTAGGAGAGGAATTTGGCTGGGAGACAGGAGGTCAGCTGGCTCACAGGGAGGCCGGGCTGGCTGGGCGATGTAGTCCCGCGCCCCCACTCAGCCCCACACGCCTGTGGGGTGGCTGCACTCTCCCCGGGGGCTCGAGTCCCTGGGGCCACGCCGGGGCTCTGCCAAGCGCCGGGGGGGAGGACGGCTTCCCGCCAGCCGGCACGACACGTCTCTGCTCACCTCCACCCTGCCGCCCAGCGAGGCCGGGAGTTGGGCACTGCGGGACCGGGAATGTCTGGGACGGTTTTGAGTCCAAACGAGAGACACATACAGGCCGCTGTCCCTGCCCGGTGACACAGCCACATTGTCTGTCCTTATCTTTCCTCTGTAATCACATCAGCCCGGCCGGCGCGCTGCACGCGTGGCTGCAGGAATGCACCCGGCGGCCGCTCCTCGCTGCAGGCTGCAGGAATGCACCCGGCCCTCCTCTGGATGCCGGGAGCGGAGAGCGGCGTTTGCAGGCGAGACAAGGGAGAGCTGAGCCAGCTCTGGGGCTGTCAGGTTTCCCAGCTCACTGCTGTGCTGGTGAAAGGAAAGCGTCCCATAGCTGGCAGGGGCCAGGCACTGCTGAAAGCCTGTTCACACATCTCCGGCCTCGTGTTTTTGCAGTGTGTTGCGTGGGGCGATGGGATAAATCGGGGCCCCCCAACATCCCTGAGCAGCAGCAGCGTTGTGCACAGGGCACCCCAGGTTCTGATGGCTCGCGGAGCCACACTCTCACAGACAGGACACAGGCAAGAGGGCCAAAGCAGAGAGGTCAAACAGCACGGCCAAGGCCACGCAGCAGGACCATGGGTGTGCCAGGACCGAGATTCAAGTCTCATGATTCCCCGTCTCATGACTTCACAGCTTCTCCAGAGCAGCCCACTCCCGTTTCTCCTGCATTTGAAATCGGATGACAGCTGAGCTTTCTCCTCTGCCTCCTCTCCCACTCCCCCGCTCGCTGCTGTGAGCGGTGGCCGGGGGCTGATGCCTCTCTGGTTGATGAACTTGGACAGGAATTTCTGCAGCAGGAGCAAGGCTACGCCCAGGGTTTTGGATACAAGGAAGAGCCGTATCCAGCCTCTGCTGGGGATGGTCCCACCTTTATTTAGGGAGGACCATTCCTTCAGCCATCTCTGCCACTCCTCCCACCTCGCAGTGCCTTGCTAAGGAGCTCAAGCATCACCAAACCTTATTGATTTATTACCATCCCCCAACTCCAGACCTATCTCTTGTTTAAGGATGCTAGTAAGCCAAAGATGCCTTTGCTAATGCCCAAAATATGCTGTGTGGGCTCAGTCTTGACTATTCTTGGGTAACAAGGCAAGAATTTCCTTTGACTTTGCTCAGCGTGCCCTGCCACACCTCTGAGCCCCCTTCCCTCTGCGCTTGCTCCCAGCATGTGTACGGTGCAGTGCTCCTGGCAGAGCATCTCAGCACACATGGCAGCCACTGCTGGCATGAGCATCGCATGGCACTACCCACCCCCAAGCACGGATCACGTGGGACGGGACCATTTCCAGCCCTGCAAATGCCTTAAACCATGGGAGATCTACACAGATAGGCATCCACGCCAAGGAGGCCCTCCCAGTCCACTGCCCTCCTCCCGAGCGTGCCTAGACCACCTTTCTCGCCTCTCCTCCACAACCACTAATGCCCTGCAGAGAACCAGTATGGGGGTCCCGCAAGCACCCCCAGAGCTGTAGGAGCTGGGGGAGCTGGGAACCAGCCTGCAAAACTGGTGCACAGGGAAGGGGATGGCTCGGCATGCCAGGGAGGGGGAGAGCAGCCACGACTGCCCTGACAGCCACTTTGGAAGGAGCTCTGGTCCCTACAGACCATCGATC